CCAGGACCCTTCACTGGAAACATAGTCATTGAATTCATATGTCAAGGGGACAGAACTGTTTAAAGTATAAGCTAGCTAGGTAGATAGATAAATTAAGATGAGAAGTTCCTTGAAAGAATAAACCATTCAATAAATTCTTAGTGTCATCCACAAATCCTAAGATGCTGAATGAACAGATTTCAGACAAAAAATACTAAAGGAATTGAACTGAATTTCAGTACTTAGTATGTTGAAGTGTGTGACATATTTTCCCCAAGCAATAAAGGTGGGGAAAATGAAATGTAAAAGATTGAATTACTGAGATTATTCCTTTGGAGGATCAACTTTCCCACCTCCATCTCTGAATTTGGTGACAGGCTGGACCATCTTTCCTGACTTCCCTTTCACACTTGCTCTTCTTCCAATTTATTCTCTCCTCTTCGTAGTTTCTTTCTTTCCTTCCCTCCATCCCACATCCACCTCTATATTGTTTTTTTAATCTATACTCCTTCAGGGCAGCAGAGAATCGGAGCATGGGAAAGTTAGTTTTGGGTTATGGACTATCTTGCTCCACCCACCCTCAATCACAAGTGTGCACAATGCCCATGCAATCACTCTTCAAATCAGAGTGCACAAGATTTCTCACTTTTCTAGTGTGTTTGAATCTACTAATATATCTGAAAAATTATTGTTTGTTGCAATAAACGGACAACATTTGTTGTAATGGTCTTTCTTTTTATTACCTAAAATTATGATTAAATATATTATAACTAGAGGCCCAGTGCACGAATTCATACACAGGTAGGGTCCCTTGGCCTGACCGGTGATTGAGGCCTATCGGGGGCCAGTTGGCCAGAGAGAGGGGCTGCGGGAGGTTGGCCAGCCAGGGGGAGGGGCTGCAAGAGGTTGGCTGGCCATGGGAGGTTGGCTGTGGGAGCACACTGACCACCAGGGAGCTGCTCCTGCATTGAGAGTCTGCCCCCTGGTGGTCAGTACCCATTATAGTAACTGGTTGTCCAGAGAGAGGGGGTGCGGGAGGTTGGCCAGCCAGGGGGAGGGGCTGCAAGAGGTTGGCTGGCCATGGGAGGTTGGCTGTGGGAGCACACTGACCACCAGGGAGCTGCTCCTGCATTGAGAGTCTGCCCCC